ATTACCTGTCCTCGCCTGAAATCAGCCATTACCAACCCCCGCTGCTTCTGTTATTTGCTGCTGGAGTCCGGGGTCCACAGAGTGCAGCGAGTGCCCCGCACAGAAGCCCAAGTAAACCCTAAACCCTAAACCCTAAACCCTAAACCCTAGCGGGGCCGGAAGGGTCGGGCTTTGGGTGAGGAGGGCTGAGGCTTCGGCCGCGCCGGCGCTTGATCGCTGAGGATGCTCATATGGGTGAGGGTTTAGGGTTTAGGGTTTAGGGTTTGGGGTTTGTGCCTTAGGGGAGAATGCATACATCAACAGCGACGGTTGCAGTGCTCAAGGAGAAGGTGAGGAGTGAAGAGCCAGCAGGGGTTTAGGGTTTAGGGTTTAGGGTTTAGGGTTTACAGCAGATGAAGAGGAACAAAAGAACTGCGGAGTTGTTGTGATAACATCCCCCGAGGGTTTAAGGCCTAGTGCTCCCTTCCGCCCTCGAGCCCACGCTCTACACAGAAGGCCTAGGGTTTAGGGTTTAGGGTTTAGGGTTTAGGGTTTGTGCAGCAAGACCAAGAAGTTGTGATAGACGAGCGGGAGCTGCTGGTGCGCACGGCGAGGTCTTCGGGGGCTGGAGGTCAAAACGTGAATAAGGTAATTAAATGAATTTAAATAAATAAATAAATAAATAAATAAAGATAAATAAATAAATAATAATAATTAATTAAAATTTATTAAATATAATTAATTAATTAACAAATGTTAATTACTTAGAAATAAATTAATAATAATTAATGCAGTACTGCTCACTTTGAGGAGTTCAAGAGAAGAAACTTGTGGTGCAATTCTTGTTTTAAAAAATGATTTTTTAAAAATAAAGTTTCAAAATATATAAATGAATTATTTTATTTGAAATGAAGCTGGTGTTATTAAATGGGTGGGGTCGTTGTTATTAAAATGGTGAATTTATTATTATTAAAATGATTTAAATTATTTTTCTTAAATGAATTAATTGTTATGAAAATAAGATTTGAAATACACGTAGAACTGCAGCAGGCCAGACGCCGGCTGCAGCAGCACCTGCTGCTGCTGACGCAGCAGCAGCAGCAGCAGCAGCAGCAGCAGCAGCAGCAGCATTTTAGAAGCTGCACTGGTGATGCGTGGTGCGTGAAAAGGTGGGGTTGTTGTTATTGTTGCACTTCGTGGCCTTTAAAGGACAAAGAATTGAAAAGGATTCAAGAAAATAAATAGAATAAAACTTTTGTTCAAAAATAAAAAGATTTCTTTTTGCTGCAGGTCGAAACTGCTGTGGACCTGCTGCACATCCCCTCCGGCATTCGCGTCTTTTCGCAGCAAGAAAGGACTCAGGCTCAAAACAAGAAAGTCCGCAGCAGCACGCAGCTGCGCATGCACTGCTGCTGCAGCTGCTGCTGCGCTGCTGCTGCTCCACCTGCTGCTGCGCTGCTGCTGCTCCACCTGCTGCTGCTGCTGCTGCTGCTGCGCCGCTGCTGCTGCGCCTGCTGCTGCGCGGCTGCTGCTGGTGCGCCTGCTGCTGCAGCAGGGGTCGGCTGCTGCAGGAAGCAGCGCTCAGGTGTACAGACACCTGCAGCAGCAGCGGTCTGGTGCTTCCGGCAGCAACGCTCAGGTGTACAGACACCCGTTGCAGCACCAGGGGTCTGCTGCCTCAGGCAGATACACAAACCTGATTAATTGCTACAAATAAATAATCAAATAAATACACAAACAATCAAATAAATAAATAAATAAATAAATAAATACACCGAATGGGCTTGTGCAATCGTGAGTGAGGTGTATGTACACCCGGATGCTGAACACACAAATTCGCGGAACTCGAAAGAAATTCCATTAATGCATTTGCATGCAACCGGGTATTTTCTAAAATATAAAAGTAAATTTGAATAGAAAGTAATTAATCTTATTTTGCATTTATGTCTTTGCTGCGCAGCTGGCGCTGGGCATCCTCAAGAGGAAGCTGCAGCAGCAGCAGGCGCTGCAGCACCAGCAGGAGCAGCGCGACGAGCGCCTGAAGCAGGCAAGCCTAAACCCTAAACCCTAAACCCTAAACCCTAACGGCTTGGCTCCTTTTCCCGCGGCGCGGGAGCAGTCGTTCGGCTGCAGAAGCAGCTAGAAAACAGGCAGCAGCAGCAGGAACAGCAGCAGCACGAACAGCAGCAGCACGAACAGCAGCAGCAGAAATGACAGCAGCAGGGAGAGCAGCAGCAGGACCAGCATCAGGACGAACAGCAGCAGCAGGAACAAAAGCAGCAGGACCAACAACAGCAGGAACAGCAGCAGCAGCAACAGCAGGAACAGCAACAACAGCGGGAACAGCAGCAGCAGCAGGAACAGCAGCAGCAAAGTGTGGGGTTGTTGTTATTTCTCAGGTGCTGCAGGGCCAAAGACACCAAAAGATCCGCAGCTATAATGCCAAAGCTGGCAGAGTCAATGACCACAGGCTGGGGGCCCCCCGCAGCTTTTCTTACAAGCAGCTGCTGCTGCAGGGGCAGCTGCAGGAGCTGCACTTGCTGCTGCTGCTGCAGCACGCCAGACACAGGCTGCAGCAGCGCCTGCTGCCCCTCACCCAGCAGCAGCAGCAGCAGCCTACGCAGAATCAGGCTAGCTCTGTCGCTGCTGCGCAGCTCTCGCAAACATAGTTATAAATTAAAATATTTAGTAAGGAATATTTTAGATTTAAATAATAAAACATTTTATTTATTTGCTTCGAAGTTTAATTGCTTTTTATTTTTTATTCTTTCCTTCTCTGGGGCCCCTCAGCTCAATCATCAAAGCCCTCGTCCACGGCGCCCTTCAGCCGCAGCAGCAAAAAAGGGAGCAGTGCTGCAGCACAGCAGCAGCAACAGCATCAACAGCAGCAGCAGCATCAACAGCAGCAGCAGCAGCAGCAGTGCAAGAGAGCCCCACGTACAGCCCAAGTCGCCCGTGTGTCGTACAGACAACAGAGAGCTCAAGCAATTGCTGCTGGTGCTGCTTTGGTGCTACTGCTGCTTCTGCTGCTGTTGCTGCTTTTGCTGCTGCTGCTGCTGCTGCATGCGTATGGCCTTTACCGTATTTGTGGGTCTTCATTATGAAGGCCAAAGTGCAGCCATTAATTAGCACCATTCCCATGCTGCCCCGCCACTGCAGCAGACACAAATCGAAGAAGCTAGCTAGTCAGCTAGCTAGCTAGCTAGCTAGCTGGCTAGCCAGCTAGCTAGCTAGCCAGCTAGCTAGTCAGGTAGCTAGTTTCGCTTGCGAGGCTGCTGGCTAGCTAGCTACCAGGCTGAAGCAGGCTGTTGAGCTAGGTGAAGCTAGCTAGCTAGCTACCTAGGGCGCCCACGACAGCCCCAGCTAGCTATTTCCGGCTAGCTAGCCGTAGCTAGCTAGCCCCTTCTAGCTAGCTAGGCTTAGCTAGCTAGCTGCTTCTTGCTGCAGCAGCTAAGCCCCCGCGCGCTGACCATAGCTGCCTCGTCTTTGAAGTATTTGGAGCTCCGGAGCACTTGGGCTTCGAGGCTGTAGACAAGCTCCAAAAGACAGAGTCCGCGGAGCCCTTTGAGGGCTGCTGCTGCAACCTGCAGCATTTCCGCGAAATTAAAATCAAAAATTAAATCAAAATGCATTTTAAATATCCAAAATCCGCCCCATTTTGCCCAGATCGCCTCCCGCGAGGTGTCTGTACACCCCGGCGGCGCCGCTGGGGTGTACGGACACCTCAGGTGTCTGTATACCTCGGCGCCCCTGGGGTGTACAGACACCTCAGGTGTCTGCGCTCTGTTTCAAACGTTTGAGAAATAAATGAATTAATTCCAGTAATGCATTTGAAGAGGTTTTTATGAACTTTGCATGCAACTGCAACTTCACTTTATGCATGCGTTTGCACAAATGCAAAATATGTTAAAAAGATAATAATAATTTTAATTTATTGTGGAAATAACAAGTCCATAAACAATGTGCCACAATACTTATAGAATATAAAACATATAAAAATATGTAAGTATATATATATATATATATTTATTTATTTATTTACATAGGGGGACTTTCTATAAATATATAAATGGAAATTTATAAATATATTTACATATATATATATTTATACGTATATTTATATACTTAATGTATTTATATATTTAAATACTTATACATCTTTGTGGGGCCTTTTTTATTTATTGCACAAAAGCATTTGGCCCCACATTTATAGAAATGCTTTAAAGGCCCATAACAAGCAGCGAACGCTGCATTGCCAAACCCTAAACCCTAAACCCTAAACCCTAGGCAGTGAAAGATCACAGTCTAGTGCATTAAAATAGAATTTGCACAAACAGCTGTAGATACACCTGAACTCCGTGTCTGCTGGTGCTGC